CAAATAAATAGTACACTGTGCACCTGTGATACATATGTGGCACTAGAATCTACTCATTTCCAACAACGTTCCACAGAAAACTCTACGTAATCAAACCCCATTGTTTCTATAGCATGATGGTTGCCGTTCCCTGTGATGATATCCATGGAAAACGCGTGTAAGTCAGTTAAACGGGGAAAAGCAAAAAGTACGTTATTAGTTGCCTTAAATCTTATTTTTAAGTAAAACAAACCAAGAAAATACCGAAGTGTCAACGAAACCGTAATTGAAACAAAAATCGTTAAAACTAGTGTACATGGACACATTATACAATGTACGGGGAGGAGAAGACAAAGTGTTCCTAAAGGGTAAGCGCCTTCTACTTCATGTAATAATCGTTTGTAGGGATGGGAGTTTTTTCGTTTAACTCGTTTACACAAGAATTATTTTAACTTGATATCTTATTGAAACAGGAACCAAACATCTAATGAAACCTCCTTTTTTAATGATGATTTTCATGTGTTTTTAAATGCTTAACTGTTTACGATGAGGAGTGTAGAAATATTTAACCACACGACCGGTACAATCTGCCCGTTTATAAGCTCATCCTGGTTCCAGTATATTTCCAATAATTCCAATACAATACAACCACCGTGTTTAATCCCCACACAGGGTGCCGGTGACAAAGCGTCAGAACAAGGTAAACAAACACGCATGAGTATGTTTCGTTGTTTAATAAGTTACAATACGTGTACTGCTGTACCTTGTTTAATCATTCACGGAAGTGATTGATATATTCATTGTGCCAATTTAATTAGATTATGACCCATTGAGCACACGTCTATTATCCAGGGGCATTCGGATGCGAAAACTGGTGCACACGGGTTTTGGAGCAAAGCGTCTGTTTACCCAACTAAAGGCGCCTTTGACTTAAATGCACCAGTAAGCTTGATCTTCAGAAGAAGAAAAAAAGACCACAGACACAATGAACTGTTTTAATAACATGGTCGATTTTATTACGAAGTGAAATGATAGCACTTACGATACCACCTACATGATATCATCTCAATATACAAAAACATAATCAAAACAATTACCATTCATATGCACCAATGTGTAACACAGTTAACATGAAAATAAAATAGATTTAGATTTTATTTTTGAATGATAAACAATTATAATAACATGCATACCAGTACATTCCATGTTATTCTCATCCAATAATTTAACAGACAACATGACCCCCACCTAGTTACCAAGGATACGGATGACCTTTAGGCCAGCAACAGCTCCCTCTTGTAGTTAATTTATCAAAAGGACGTTGAGACCCCATGCCACATCAGATATGGAAATTTATTGGTACCTAAAACAGTTAAGAACATAACTTTCAAAACTAGTTTACAAACAACAGTTTAACCGAACACATTTAAGTTTCTAGTTGAGCTTGTAAAAATTAATGACAGATCAATTCGGTTGAGCTATGACAATAAATTAAGATAAATACTTGCAATAAAGTGATTACTTAAGTACCATTGTATTACACACGCCTGTAATGTGCTATCATCTACCCAGTTACATATGTAACAACAACTGAAATGTTATCTCATCAATTCAAAACCAAGCAAAAATACAGGTTGTTTTCGGTGTCACTCCTGACACTATGTGTAATCCTTTAAAGACTCTGGTGATAAAAATAATATGACCCTTCGAATCATTTCCAATCAATGTATTTTGTTTCCATACAAAATCATAAACGATGTGTATTCCTGTGGGATTATCCACTGAGAAGTATTTAATATGTATGCTACAAAGTCAAAAATTCATGACAAAATGTAAAATGTTGCTTTTTCTGGTAAAACCTTTGACAAACTGTGATTGTTTTAGATAAAAAGAATCTCAAACTTGTTTTCTTTCGATATAATATGTAAATGGGAAGTTGTTGATATTCTGTATACAATATGTAACATTAAATGTAAGTTTTAAATTTTAAAAGCTATTTTACCGGTATATATTTCACATCGATGACAGAAAAATAACATAATATAACAACAAAAATATGAATTCATTAATGTATCGTGCCGTTAAATTATTTCTACATATAACTTATAATCACGTTATAAATTATTAACCCTAATATATATGTCATGACCTATGCACTGGCTAGTAAAAAACATATAAATCTAGAAATTATAAACCAGTATAAAATCAAGGCATGTCATGTAAATTCTGAGCCCTATTGTAAAAAGGATGATGGAGATTTCAGCACCATAATTATGACCATGATAATGAGTAAGAACATCGACCCTTCCTGGAAGCATTGATGTGCAGGTTTTAGTCAAACCTCACAAGCTACTTGTTAGAAGTATGAATCATTTAAATTCTGGCATACGGCTAAATTGGACTTGTAAGACGTCTAAAGGACCTGTAGAGCTCACTTGGTAAGTATTGTTTAAATAAATCAAAACAATAATTATAACCAAAACAAATTTGATCGAAAGTCAAAGGAATTACTGTTGAGTAAAAACGTTCTTGGAAATCTTAATAAGAGGCCATGGCACCTATCGTGGATTTTCGATTTGACAAGAGGGTACAGGGCCATTTTAAGATTATTCCATAATTATTCAAGTCAAACAAAATAGATATTACGGAATCCATATCATGGCATAAAGTCAGTCTTTCTTGTAAAACATTTGTCCAAAATTACTGAAAGTAACATATATTTCATTTACAATTATAGTTTTAAATTAAGTTATTTTAGTATTATTATAGTAAAAATAATAAATACTGTACTTACAATAATTCAAATTGTACAAACGTTTTGACAAACATAAATAGCAAAAAAACATGTATATACAAAATAGGTATTCACAATTACACAAAATACGTATTCACAATTACACAAAATACGTATTCACAATTACACAAAATAATTTATTGCTGAAAAATAGTTTTTCTCGTAACGAGAAACTTGCATGAAATGAAGGAGTGTCAAACATTCGAGCAGACAACCAAATGATCGTGAAATGTAGGGGAACATTTGTTACACAGAGTTTGATGATCAGGACACAAATCAATAGTATTTACATACCAGCAATAAGATGATGAACATCCAGTCAAAGAAACAAATATTGGATACTGACTCAAACATCCACGAACACAAACATCCCTACTTGTAACCTTTCTTCAACTCTCATACACAGGATATGGTTTAACATCTGTTTGTAGTATCATATCATCTTTAAATAAGTCATAATACATATTTCAATAGCATACTCATCTTAGTTTATGTTGTTTTAAGGTCAAACTTCCCCACTTATATAAGGGTCTATAGACTCTGGACACAGAAGATCAAAATGAATGATACTATCCAAAAGCGTGTTTTGGTTCTGTTTCGAATGTGTTTGAGTATCACTATATTCACATGCCATGGAAATCTGCCAACATACTGAATTTGATGACATTTGATATAGGCCTACAATTTGTTATATTTTATAAAACAAACAGGAAACGACCGCCGAGGCAGTTACATAACACTTGGGGTTGCATGATGAACGTAATTATGATAATCCCAAGTTGGGGGAGAGAAAAGAGATGTTTTACTATTTTCTTGATTCCCTAATTCACAAACAAGTAATATGTTTTTTCAATGAACAATTATGAAGTATTTGCTTACTAAAATTTTATGTTAAGTCACGATTTTTCGAGGAACTACACTTTTGACAGATTAACTACATTTCCTGTTAATTGTGGATGTAGGTAAATTAGTCATTCCTACATAATATGGCTTCCAGGTATTTTTGAGATTGTAGACGAACTATTCAACAGATTTTTTATTATTCCTGCACTATGCTGATAGGACAAACTAAAAAGACTGATTTCTTGGTTATTACCAAGAGGTTTAACCTATCATTTTGAAAAGTAATTGATTATAATGTACATAATTTACACGCACATACCAATGTTAACTAAACAAATATCACATACATACAGATGTAAAATATCACATCGACAGACAACCCTACGCACGTGGACATTAGCAACACAATTTACATTATTGTACACTTTAATTGATACAAGTTAACATTCTGGAGCATGTTGTTTTCAGACAATAAATGCACAATGCTCGCTAACCATATTCTGTGTCATACTGAAATTACGCTTAAATAACCTACACACTCATACTTCACAATTCGGTACTGACACTAATCATGACTGTACACTGTAACAGGACAAACTTATCTCTGGTATAGATAAACTGATATTTTTACAATGTCATGGCGCTTAATACAGCAAATATACCAAATAACTTACATTGTAACAAGTCAAACTTATCTCTGGTATAGATAAACTGATATTTTTACAATGTCATGGCGCTTTATACAGCAACAATGCACACCAATATACCAAATCACTTACACTGTCACAACGACATTGTATTATTAATCAATCAGTATTTTAAAGACACTGACATTTTACAGTAGTAAATATACCAGGTGAGCTATTGACGTCAGTGACACTGCAGTTTACGTAATACATTGTCTATGTATCTTCTATAGCGCTTCGCCTATAGTGTTGGTAACAGCAATGGTATCGATAACAGATCAAGAACAGTTAGACACATCTTCAAGAGTTTGAGAGAAGTATTGGCATTTGGCAGTTTCACACCAGGGCCAAATATTGAGGATCTATCGATGTTACATACTATCTACCTATTTGTATGGAACAGAATGCTGGTGAAGAAATAATAATTAATCTATCAACTGTTAACACAAATTCCAAACAAAATCCTCAATATCTTCAGGCCAAGGGTAATCTCAAATGATGAACTACTCACGCAGTGAAATCAGGAAGACATGAGAAACTAAAACAAGAAAACATGGTAGAGAAAGATTGGCAATTTGCTTAGCGAGGCATATGACGTGCTTCATCACAAGGGTTGTATACAGCAAGAGGGACACCAAGATCAGCATGGCGTTGTACCGAGGTACGAACCTAAAGACATGAACCAAAGCTGGAGCATCATCGCGAGACTGGCATAGAAAAGATAGACGTGGAGAAACTAGTCAGCAGCCATTAACACCATTGGGTAGAAAAGGGAGAAAGTAAGTTCATAGTTACTAACTGTTGTATGGATTTCACGAACACTGTACATTGCTATGGTTAAGTATATACAAGCTGTTGTAGAGACTTAAGTTACCATGACATATTTTTACAGTTATGTATATTACACTGTACACTGGGTGGTTCTTGGATTTCTGTATAACTGTAGTTTTACCACAGTTACACACTTACTAGGTGCCGTATGGAATTCCGTCACTCACATTGTAGTTTTACCACAGTAACATACTTACTAGGTGCCGTATGGAATTCCGTCACTCACATTGCAGTTTTACTGCAGTAATAAGTTGAGGTACAGCTTAAGGTTTGGTCCTTTATCTGTTATAATTCATAAGATGTAAGATACAGGTCAAACATGTAATCTTCTAATTTTTTACATCACAGTGTAGAACCACACAGTCAATGGAATGGTCAGCTATTAGGATTGATTTCAATCAGAAGGCCATTGATGATGAAACATCATAAACAAGTTTTTTGTATTAGTGTTTGAAATGTACTATTAAATAGACATGTTTTTTTCTGTTGAATATCAGATATATTTCACTGAGAATGATTCACCTAAATGTCACTTCATGAATTCAATAAATTATTTCAAGTAATTGCATTATCAATCCACGTGTATACAGGAAATATACAAGATACTCAATGGAAACCATTAACTAGATCTACAGGTGACCTGTCCCGTCACTGTAGGCCTGTAGCTATCAATCCATCCCCTGTTTAAGGGGAGACTACTGCTATAACTGTGTGTTTTCTGCAGTCCCACTACTGCTGCTAGAAGACTGGGTTGAAGCTCGTTTGTTTTCCTCTGACTCTGGCAGCTCTAGTCTGGCAACTCGTTCTAACACATCAATCCACCTAAAACAAAAAGACAAGCCTGTGAGTGTCAACAAAATGTTCACATATGTCTGTAAAACCACGGAATGCTATAAATAATTACTTGAACTACGAAGAAAGAAATCCAATTTTTCTAAAATGCAGAATATATGTTGATGCAGAAGTCAAAAAATTAAAGTTTCACTGCATCAAATATGTAACAATTTTTCTGTCCACTCTACCACTGGGAAATCATGTTATTTCAATATAGAATGACAAATTAATGTCCATCAATACTATATTCATCTATATAAAACTAGAATGCCAATTTAATGTCCATCAATACTATATTCATCTATACATATCTACTATTTGTATTAGGTGGGGGATAACATTGTGTTATCCAACATGAGAAATATAAAAAGCATCCCAAAGACGCTCGAAAAAACGCATACTCAACCATTGCACCAAAATCGTTTATGAAGATTGAAAAATGTATTTTTGCATGCTTGCGCTGCAAATTACCATACTTTAAATGTATTATTTATATTTGACAAAACATGCTTAACATTGATTTGTTTTATCAAGTGTTTTTACAGTATATAATTATAATGCAAATTCTAAAACCAAGAATTAATTATTACGTTTGATATTAATTACGATAATGCACTAGAGATGGAAATTAAATGCTATTTTAACATAACAGTATTCTAAGAGTTACTTCCCTTGCCTATTGATTGAATAACATTATATTTGCAGTGATGAATAAAATAACTGTGCTTAAGTCTTATAAAACATTTCTTTCAATTTTACCAGGGAAAAAAAAAATTTTTTTTTTGCGATTCTCTCAATGGAATATGCTTGAGGAAGTGTCTAGATTTTTTTCCATAATTCAGTGTGCTACTTATTATAGCACGGGATTCGGTTAGTCCGTGGTAATAGTAAGAGTTACTTCCCTTATATCACTACAAAAAGGCGGTCAACTGGGAGTGTACAGTCATGTCACATTTGGCTACTGTGATAAGTGCCTTGTGGAGTTTAAGTTTGAGAGATCTTTTTTAATCTGGCGTTTGATAGGAGTACTTTATACTCATCAGTATTACATGCAGTTCGGCAATAAATCATGTTTAATCTGGTGTTGGATAGGAGTACTTTATACTCACCAGTATTACACGCAGTTCGGCAATAAATCATGTTTAATCTGGTGTCGGATAGGAGTACTTTATACTCATCAGTTTTACACCCAGTTCAGCAATATATCATGTTTAATCTGGTGTTGGATAGGAGTACTTTATACTCACCAGTATTACACGCATTTCGGCAATATATCATTTAAAGTGATTTTCTTGTACCACAGACTTAGATCTAATCTAATTCCGTGCTTGTACCAGGCAAAATTCAAGATGACATTTTTGTCCCTAAGGATATCAAAACTTATGTAAAGTGTTCTAGAAATTCTGTAAGTTGTGTATTTTGTATAAGGAAATGCATTAATTACTTGTCACGATGGCCTTGCTCCCCTGCTAGGAAGTAGTGAGTCTGTCCCTGCTGGTTCTTGTGATACAGCTTAAATCCCTTCTCCTTGTCAGCATTGTCAGGGTCATGCTGCTCCACTGTGTATCCGGGCAAGGGGATAGTGAAAAGTGCACAAACATCCTAGGAAAGCAACATAAACAGGCGTCAGTATAACTGCACATCTCTACTCAAACGCAATCCTTTTTCTTACATCAAATTTTAAAGTTCATGGCTTTTCAAACTAGAAGCATAAATGAGGCAAGGTATGCAGCTCCTACTTCAGTGTCAAAATATAAAAACAAGAGGCCCATGGGCCTTAACAGTCACCGGAGTTATGTAACAAGAGGCCCATGGGCCTTAACAGTCACCTGAGTTATGTAAAAACTGATGTTATCGATGTTGCCAAATGAAGAAATAATCATTTTGTAACAAAGGTAACTTGAACTACATGTAACGCAAAAGTAGTGTGATAGATCTGGGTAGTATATGTACTATGTACAAATAGTGGTTCTGTCTGTCAGCTGAATTATGGTAAAGCACCTTAAGACCCTTCCATCTATAAAGTGTATTTGATTCTACCATATCTGGATCTTGATCTGGATTTTGAAATTTTAATCAATTTGACCCTTTTTGGCCCCGCCCATCAGCCCCTGGGGGTCAGTCAGGGCTGATTTGTTTATATCATCAAACTGCTATCTTATACTGATAATGCTAATTAAGTTTGAATTAATTCCAATGGAAATTAAACAAATGCTGGTCCAAAATGTGATTTCCCTATATAAACTATAGTAAATTTTACCCCCTCCCCAGGAGAAACGTGAGACCCCAGGGTCATGAAATTCACTATTTTGGTTAAGGTTTTTCATTATTTCCTAAAGATTTTCATCAATTTAAACCATATTAGTGATCTTGACCTTTGACCTTCAGTCTCTGCCAGATTGAAATGGTGTACATGATGTCAGGTATTCATGCTTCAATCTTGTGTAGAAGCTTCATCAAATTATGTGAATAAAATACACAGCCAACAAACATCAAAATGAGATGATATCTGACCCCTGAGTTTGACCTTGTGTTTACCTGATGTGCTTTGAAGCAGTATAGAGCAAAGTTAGTCTGAACAACGACCCATCTCTTTGTCCAACTCTTGCCTCGGTCAGTACTGACCTGTAGATAACTGGACAGCACTGACGGGTCACTGGCCTTTTTCTTTAAAATAAATTTGACATAATAAAAAGATTGGTTCACATATACAAAATATTCTATTTGTTAAAGTACTTTTATTACTGGTTTACATGTTTCGATGAGGCTGGAGATGATGGTTAGCTAGGCTGGGGGTGATGGCTAGCTAGGATAGGGATGATGGCTAGCTAGGCTGGGGGTGATGGCTAGCTAGGCTGGGGATGATGGCTAGCTAGGCTAGGGATGATGGCTAGCTAGACTAGAGATGATGGCTAGCTAGGCTGGGGACGATGGCTAGCTAGGCTGGGGATGATGGCTAGCTAGGCTAGGGATGATGGCTAGCTAGGCTGGAGATGATGGCTAGCTAGGCTGGGGACGATGGCTAGCTAGGCTGGGGATGATGGCTAGCTAGGCTAGGGATGATGGCTAGCTAGGCTGGAGATGATGGCTAGCTAGGCTGGGGACGATGGCTAGCTAGGCTGGGGATGATGGCTAGCTAGGCTAGGGATGATGGCTAGCTAGGCTGGAGATGATGGCTAGCTAGGCTGGGGACGATGGCTAGCTAGGCTGGGGATGATGGCTAGCTAGGCTAGGGATGATGGCTAGCTAGGCTGGAGATGATGGCTAGCTAGGCTGGGGACGATGGCTAGCTAGGCTGGGGATGATGGCTAGCTAGGCTAGGGATGATGGCTAGCTAGGCTGGAGATGATGGCTAGCTAGGCTGGGGACGATGGCTAGCTAGGCTGGGGATGATGGCTAGCTAGGCTAGGGATGATGGCTAGCTAGGCTAGGGATGATGGCTAGCTAGGCTGTGGATGATGGCTAGCTAGGCTGGGGATGATGGCTAGCTAGGCTAGGGATGATGGCTAGCTAGACTAGAGATGATGGCTAGCTAGGCTGGGGACGATGGCTAGCTAGGCTGGGGATGATGGCTAGCTAGGCTGGGGGTGATGGCTAGCTAAGCTGGGGGTGATGGCTAGCTAGGATAGGGATGATGGCTAGCTAAGCTAGGGGTGATGGCAAGCTAGGCTGGGGATGATGGCTATCTAGGCTAGGGATGATGGCTAGCTAGGCTGGGGGTGATGGCTAGCTAGGCTGGGGGTGATGGCTTACTAGGATAGGGATGATGGCTAGCTAGGCTAGGGATGTTGGCTAGCTAGGATAGGGGTGATGGCTAGCTAGATTGGGGATGAATGGCTAGCTAGGCTGGGGATGACGGCTAGCTAGGCTGGGGATGACGGCTAGCTAGGCTAGGGATGACGGCTAGCTAGGCTGGGGATGAATGGCTAGCTAGGCTGGGGGTGATGGCTAGCTAGGCTGGGGATGATGGCTAGCTAGGCTAGGGATGTTGGCTAGCTAGGATAGGGGTGATGGCTAGCTAGGCTAGGGATGATGGCTAGCTAGGCTGGGGGTGATGGCTAGCTAGGATAGGGATGATGGCTAGCTAGGCTGGGGGTGATGGCTAGCTAGGCTAGGGATGTTGGCTGGCTAGGATAGGGGTGATGGCTAGCTAGATTGGGGATGAATGGCTAGCTAGGCTGGGGATGATGGCTAGCTAGGCTGGGGATGAATGGCTAGCTAGGCTAGGGATGATGGCTAGCTAGGCTAGGGGTAATGGCTAGCTAAGCTAGGGATGTTGGCTAGCTAGGCTAGGGGTGATGGCTAGCTAGGCTAGGGGTGATGACTAGCTAGGCTAGGAATGATGGCTAGCTAGGTTAGGGATGTTGGCTAGCTAGGTTAGGGATGATGGCTAGCCTTGCTAGCTAAACATGTAAACTGGTAATAAAACTATGGAATCTGGAAGACAACTAGGATGTTGGTTCTCTGCCACTCCGTAAGGAGTCCTGTTTTTATTTGTTCAAGTGTGAATTTATTACTAACACAATTGCAGGAAATCATTAAGACATTTGAAATAGCAGTTTATTTAGAAGAAAATGAATCTCATACATTATATTTTAGTAAGGCAGCTATATTAATCAGATTTAAACTGGTTCTTATACATGTATTTAAATTAACATATTCCCAAACTTTTCATTACATGATTCAGGGTCATTAGTTTCTATACCCTCCTGGGGAGTTTGCTTCCTCATTTACCTGTAACACTCTTCGTCGTGTTGAACTGGTTGTCGACTTTTCCGATACTTCTTCCTCTTCCACACCGTTCTTCAGCACTGCATAGCACTTGTCACAGACACGGTTGTACCTGAGGTTGTCATAGGCCAGTGGCACCTTCTTACAGGAACATTTACTACAAACTACCTGTAAGGTCAAAATCAGATAGGCTAGAAGCACCTTCTTACCAGAACATTAACTACAAACTACCTGTAAGGTCAAAATTATAGGCCAGTGGCACCTTCTTACAGGAACATTTACTACAAACTACATGTAAGGACCAAATTTTTAGCTAATGGAACATTTTCACATGAATATTTCCTCAATATCATCTGTAAGCAATTGAGTTCATACTTTAAAAACAAATATTGGTAAAAATGTCCTAAAGGAATATTCCTGTACACAACACATTTGTACATGTGTATATCTGCTGCTTATAGTGGTGAGTAAGGGATCCCTATTCTAAAAGAAATACAGTTTGTGGTATTTGTGATAGAGATGTACTTACGATGCCACATGCGCGGCAGTGATGCCGCCGTCGGAATGCTGTGAAGGAGTTGGTGCACTGCATACACATCGTCACCTCATCATCCTTTATCCACTTCGGAGCCAACTTCCCAATTTCCATTTCTGGAAGCTGAAATACAATAACATAACACACGCTTTTTTATGTAAATTTTCAAAAATATTGCCATAATAAAATTTCGTAAATTATAATTTTTCATTTTTTGTTTCAACTTTTGAAAATATAATATTTTAGTATGGGTTGTCTCCCTTATTGGGCTGCTCTTCATATCTAAAGCATTACACAAAAAAAATGATTCCAATTACTGATAATCTAAAAAATTGACAACCAAAGATATTTCTGATACATGTAGTTGTTTCCAATGCACTGAAGGATATTTTATGTTACCTGGTATATGATATTGTCAATTTCTACTAATGATTAATGATTTTGATAAAATATCAAACAAAGAAACAATAGCTACGGATTTAAGTCAGCAGCCTAATTCATTTACATAGCAAGGAAGAAAATTCTGAAGACAACTGCTTAATAATAAAACATTAGTTGACCCAATATCACATTTCTATCTATAAGGCTCTTCTGATTAGTAGGTACAGTAAAATGTGTATTAATGGCTGTAGTTGTACATGGTGACGATTCACATCAACGCAAGGTAAAACCTGAGAATCCTTGGATTTGAAAGTAAATATGTCCTATACCACACAAGACAAACATGTTGCTTGTTAGTTAACAGCCCATTAGGATTGGTAGTTTGAAGTAGACCTGTCCTATACCACACACGACAAACATGTTGCTGGTTAGTTTACAGCCCATTAGGATGGGAGTTTGAAGTTAACCTGTCCTATATACCACACAAGACATACATGTTGCTGGTTAGCTTACAGTCCATTAGGATGGGAGTTTGAAGTAAACCTGTCCTATATACCACACAAGACAAACATTTTGCTGGTTAGTTTACAGCCCATTAGGATGGGAGTTTGAAGTAAACCTGTCCTATATACCACACAAGACAAACATGTTGCTGGTTAGTTAACAGCCAATTAGGATGGGAGTTTGAAGTAAACCTGTCCTATACCACACAAACCAAACATATTGCTGGTTAGTTTACAGCCCATTAGAATGGGAGTTTGAAGTAAACCTATCCTATACCACACAATACAAACATGTTGCTGGTTAGTTAACAGCCAATTAGGATGGGAGTTTGAAGTAAACCTGTCCTATAACACACAAGACAAACATGTTGCTGGTTAGCTTACAGCCCATTAAGATGGGAGTTTGAAGTAAACCTGTCCTATACCACACAAACCAAACATATTGCTGGTTAGTTTACAGCCCATTAGAATGGGAGTTTGAAGTAAACCTATCCTATCCCACACAAGACAAACATGTTGCTGGTTAGTTAACAGCCAATTAGGATGGGAGTTTGAAGTAAACCTGTCCTATATACCACACAAGACAAACATTTTGCTGGTTAGTTTACAGCCCATTAGGATGGGAGTTTGAAGTTAACCTGTCCTATATACCACACAAGACATACATGTTGCTGGTTAGCTTACAGTCCATTAGGATGGGAGTTTGAAGTAAACCTGTCCTATACCACACAAAACAAACATATTGCTGGTTAGTTTACAGCCCATTAGAATGGGAGTTTGAAGTAAACCTATCCTATACCACACAAGACAAACATGTTGCTGGTTAGCTTACAGTCCATTAGGATGGGAGTTTGAAGTTAACCTGTCCTATATACCAAACAAGACATACATGTTGCTGGTTAGTTTACAGCCCATCAGGATGGGAGTTTGAAGTAAACCTGTCCTATCCCACACCAGACAAACATGTTGCTGGTTAGATTACAGCCCATTAGGATGGGAGGTTGAAGTTAACCTGTCCTATATACCACAAAAGACATACATGTTGCTGGTTAGTTTACAGCCCATTAGGATGGGAGTTTGAAGTTAACCTGTCCTATATACCACACAAGACATACATGTTGCTGGTTAGCTTACAGTCCATTAGGATGGGAGTTTGAAGTAAACCTGTCCTATACCACACAAGACAAACATGCTGCTGGTTAGCTTACAGCCCATAAGGATGGGAGTTTGAAGTAAACCTGTCCTATACCACACAAGACAAACATGTTGCTGGTTAGCTTACAGCCCATTAGGATGGGAGTTTGAAGTAAACCTGTACTATATACCACACAAGACATACATGTTGCTGGTTAGTTTACAGCCCATTAGGATGGGAGTTTGAAGTTAACCTGTCCTATATACCACACAAGACATACATTTTGCTGGTTAGCTTACAGTCCATTAGGATGGGAGTTTGAAGTAAACCTGTCCTATATACCACACAAGACATACATGTTGCTGGTTAGTTTACAGCCCATTAGGATTGGGAGTTTGAAGTAAACCTATCATATACCACACAAGACAAACATGTTGCTGGTTAGCTTACAGCCCATTAGGATGGGAGTTTGAAGAGATTCATACTGTACTTGATATTAGTACATCAGATAGTAATGTACAGGAATTAGAAATACATGTAAATAATATATATATGTATATTGTTTTAGTATTTAACTGTTTGAGAAAACATTTAAATGTATGAATTGATTTGTTCTGCAATGTACATTTATATTACAGGTACGTATACATGTATGACTGCTAGGAGACACTGTTGAAGAAAAAGATCATCAAGATAGGAAGGTATTTTTTATTATTATTGGAAGGAAAGATTGGTTTTGTTAATAAGTATTGTTCAAATCAGTTAAATGGAGGTTGAGAAGAAAGTGAAAAGGTCAGAGGTAATCAGATTTCAGCTCTAAAAATAACAATTACATGTTCAGAACCATGAAAGGATTATTTGAAAGCAGTTTGGTTAAAATTGGTGGGATCCAAGAAAATTAGAAATATATCTCTGTTGATCAGACACGAGTGGCTATTTTGATTGGGAATCGGTCCAAAATGTAATGAACATTTGGTCAAATTTAAGTTAAACTGGTGAAGAACTGAAAGAGTGGACCCTTTACTCCTGCCCCTAGAAGGACCACACCCTTCCTATATTAATGAGAGCACAGTGGGGTAGAACATTATGTCTGTCACATGCCTTTTAGTATCCATTTAGACACATTTAGAGGACGAATAGACAGGATGGAGATGTCATTGTACTGTTAGGTACAGAGTAGGTAAGAGTTATAAGGTACACTGCAGTTTTATTACCTTCGGTACCCTCATAAACTCGGACTGAACTGACATTCTACTGTTATACTTAAATAAAAATAAACAGAGTTTTTATTTTAGTATATTAATAATATTTTTCAAAAGAATTTATACATGCAGCATGTGAGTGTAAATTTGATTTTAATTTTACAAAAATCAAACAAATCATCAGTTTTCTCCATTACCTTGAAATTTCAATTGTACATATTTACAATTTATAATTATTTGAGTTTCATTGATGTTTCAATAAATTCAATACATTTTTACAGAAATCTTCCAATCCATTTCGATATCTGTTACCATTGTTTACATCAACATCAAAAATGTTATGTAATACTTGTAATATATGTATTACATATTATTAATAATATTATAATAATTATGTAAATGATAAGAATTATATATTTTAGAATTCTTGTAAAAGTATTCAATATTGTATAATAATTTCATAAGCATATATGTATTGCTTGAATAAGTATAACATGTTGTTTGATAATTATATAAGGTATTATATACTTTTTAAAAATTAAATAAGTATTATACTGTATTTTATAACTAAATAAGTATTATATATTATAATTGTATAAGTATTATATGTTTTATAATACTTGTATGATTAGTATTACATATTGTTTATTTTTTTGAAATAAGTATTTATATATATATTGTATATCTATTGAATATGTATTTTATCTTATATTTTATCATGATAACTATCATATATTGTTCAATATGTGATTAAGAATTTGATAATTGTGTATGTATTATATATTTCATCATAATTTTACAAGTATCACATTTTTTTAATTTCCTGTATGATAATTATGTCCCTCAAACAAAGTTAGGGGACATATTGTTTTTGCTCCGTTTCTTCTTCTTATTATTAAGTCACCCCGAACAAAGTCCGGTGACTTATTGTTATTGTTCCGTTTCTTACTTATTCTTATTATTATTATTATTCCGCCGTAAAAGTTTCTCCGTTAAATCTCAGGAACTACTAATGGGATGGGATTCTTATCATACATTGCATATATAATCAGTTCAATTTGTTATTTTTTTTGCGTCAACCATCCAAGATGGCTGCCACTGCTCTGATTGGCCAAAATTATATCCAGCAATAACATTCGTTCTATTTGATGGAACATAATGAAACTTGGTGAAAGGGATGACAACATCACATCGGCCGTTTTTCGACAAAAAATATTTCACTTTGGATTCAAAATGGCGGCCAAATGCAGGATTTTGATTGGTCGAAATTTAAATATCGTTCAAATTCGATGAAATTTGGTATGTAGGGGAAATATGGCACTACGAACAAAACTGCGGTGTTTGTGTTATGAAAAAACAAAATGGCTGCCATTTGCTGGCCTCTGATTGGTCAAAAATTCAATGTCGAAATCATATCCAGTAATAACATTCGTTCTATTTGATGGAACAAAATCGACAAAAACTCGAGAAATGATGATAACGTCACAGCGCTCGTTTTCGACAAAAAAATAATTGACTTTAGAAACAAAATGGCGGCTAAATGCAGGCTTCTGATTGGTCGAAATATCGTCCAATTTTGATGAAATTTGGTATGTATAGGTATAGTATGGCACTACGAACACGACTGCAGTGTTCGTCTTGTGAAAAAAACAAAATGGCTGCATACTTAGCAGGGGAGGTGACTTCTGCTATTGCTCGCAATTACAATTCTAGTTTTTATTCTTATTTCTTTCACTTTCTTCTGCCGGACGGCAGCGGAATTCAACGAAACTTTACATGAGTGTTTGAGTATGACAGGCGGTGTGCAAGAGTATTTTTTTTTTTCGATCGGTCAACCGACTGGTCAGCCGAGCCGGATGGTTGCCTCTGATTGGTCGAAATTTAGATATTGTTCGTTTTTGATGAAAATTAGTATATAGGGATATTAGGGGACTGTGAATCCAACCGCATATGTTTTGTTGCCATAGTAACCATATAGCAACCACACGAAGGCTTCTGATTGGACGAAATTCAGATATTGTTCGATTTTGATGAAAATTGGTATATAGGGGTATTAGGGGACAGCGAATAAAACTATAAGTTTCGATACCATAGCAACCACACGGAGGCTTCTGATTGGTCACAATTTAGATATTGTTTGATTTTGAAGAAAATTGGTTTATAGGGGTATTAGAGGACTGCAAATTCAATAGCATACGTTTCGTTGCCAAAGCAACCACACAGAGGATTCTGATTGGTTGCAATATAGAAATTGCTCAATTTCACTCAAATTTAGTATGTATATTGTAGGTGTGCCATGGCAATGCGATCCTTTTCTGATGCATCTTTGCGACTTTGGGGGCAGTTTGGGGGACATCTGTTATGGTCCCCCATTACAATTAGTACTTGTTGATATATATTTTATAATGATTGTGTGATACATTTTAATATATAATACTTGTATGATGAGTATTATATATTCTTTAATATTGGGTCGTATAATATAGTGTATAATAATTGTATATGTACTATACATTTTATCATAATTTTGTAAGCATTTAATTTTTTTATATTCCCTGTATAATTATAATATATCTTACAATAATTGTGTGATAGAGTATAATGTATAATGCTTTTATGATAAGAATTAATTATATTCTTCAATATTTGATTAAGAATTTGATAATTGTGTATGTATAATATATTCCACCATAATTCTATAAGTATTTCATTTTTTATATTACCTGTATGATAATTAATATGTATCTTATAATAATTGTGTGATATAGTATAATGTATAATACAAGTCTGATAAGAATTATATACAGACTAGATCAGTTACATGCTACTTTAATTATACCTTAACTATCTCAGATGGAGTCGATTTCCTATTTCTACTTTTCCTTATTTCAGAAGCAGAAGAATGTCTGCTATCATGTCGAAGTACTTCGTGAGAAGTAGAGTGTCTACTGAAATCAGACTGAATACTGGCTCCTCGGGAGATATCAGAACTAGCAGTCCTAAAACTGGCAGATCTGGACGAGTCAGTGAAAACAGAGACAGAATCTCTAATCCTCCACTAAAACAAGAAATCATGTCATAAACCAGTTTTCTCCGAGTACTTCTTTTGTTGCTATACTGTCTTATGTTTTTAGGTGTGTAAATCGTTAATCTAAATTTGTGAGAATTTGTAATTTACTTAAAACCAAAACTGGTGCATGTATTTTGGATGGTACACAGTTACCATACAGTCTCACAATACCTGAGGCAGATTGTTGACTTATTTTTGATTACAATTCAATCAGGCTATGTTACAGATATCATGGGGGATGGCTTAGTTGGTCGGTAGTTGACCGTACGTGTGTTATATTTCAGGAGGTCACATTAACTCATTCACCCCTGAAGACACATTTGAACTCTTCCAATTCAAAGGTTGGAATAGTTCATTATAAAATTTCAGGGGTGAATGAGTTAAAACACATGGTCTACTTCTATGACCACTGTGTAATACACCTATAGCTGTTAAAATTTCATATCAATGGTATCCTAGGTTTTGTTCCTAGCTTATGCGGTGACTGACAGATATAGGCAGGTACGTACCCCGCTGTCCCGCAGGTGGTCCTCGTGGCCCCTCAGGGACTGCCTTCTGTGTCGGTACTCCTTCAGTGTGTCCTTCATTGACTGTGGGGTAACAAAACATATCCTTCTATAGACAAAACACCCTTCATATCAGACACTATGACACTTCATTGACTGTGGGGTAACAAAACATATCCTTCTATAGACAAAATACCCTCCATATAAGACACTATGGCATTTTATTGACTGTGGGGTAACAAAACATATCCTTCTATAGACAAAATACCCTCCATATCAGACACTATGACACTTCATTGAACTAAAATTTCACTTAGTATGATGAAGATTTGGTACAAAGAAAAAGCAGAACATTGATTTAACACTTGCAAGATGACCTTGTAACTTTGACCTTTTTTGACATACACTGTTTGCGGCCTTTATACTTTTCCCTTTGGTAACTGAATATAACAAGTTTCCTTATATTCTATGCCTTACTTTGAGAGATATTCGAAATCTGATCAAAAGTTGAATTGTGTGGCACATGAAAAATTCATATACATGTACTGGTGCTCAAATAAAAGCAAAATCACATCACTCTAAGTATATTCTGAAATTATGTCCCCTTATTTTTGCACAAGGCCAATCTGCATTGATCAAGGTTTTTACATTCCATTTCCATGATATTTGGTCAGCTTTATAAACATGTTATGTTTTCTAATTTTATGTTGTCTTAAATAGGCTTTATACCTACCTCACACCATCCCATCAGCTCCCCTGCAGGATTCCTGCAAGAAAGAAATGCAAAATAAGGAATTTTAAATACTATTACATGTTATAATCTCATTTTGAGCCATTAACTCATTCACCCCTGAAATTTCATAATGAACTATTCCAACCTTTGTATAAGAAGAGTTCAAATGTGTCTTCAGGGGTGAATGAGTTAAATGATAAATGTTCGTCAGTCTACTAAACAATGATTCTATAACTTTGTTAAAATCATCAGGGGCGGGTCCAGGTGAGGGCGTAATGGGCGTACACCCCCCCTTTCCAAAAAAAAAAAAGTCAGGAACCGTTACGTTAGTGCATTTCACAATTATTCTATGTTTTTTAGTGAAAAAAAAGGTCCAATTTTTTTTTAGCCTTGCTCTGCTCGGCGAAGATTTGATTCTCTATCAAATATCCTAGAAACGCCTCTGATCATTCTCAGTAACTGCATAACTGTCTTTTCAACACTTTTATTCAACAGGTCTTACTTTCAAATAGTTGACCCTTGGCCTTTGCGATGGGTTCTATTTCTTGCTTATTACCTAAAACCTGTAAAAAACAGCTGCTCTTCTTGTAAAGTTGTAAACTGTCCACAGATTTCTCACTTGCATAGGAAGATCGGATGGCAATTAATTGTTAATGATCCTGAATGACCCCAAAATGTCATAAAATGATGTCACAAACAATAGCGTGACCCCAAAAGGTCACTATAATTCCTCCGCCAGTCTGCGTGTAAGCGATCCAAACCTGTGGGTCAAATAGAATTTTCTAGCACCGCAGGAAATGCGGATATCTCAGTCTAGTATGCAAGAAATCTTCAGACTACACACTTCACCTTGCAGTTTTATATGTTCTGTATACAGTAGTGTTGTACAACAAGAGTACCGAGAAAATGTAGGAGAAAATCTTCAGACAAAAAATCAAAAACTGAAATGAACAAAAGGCAATAAATTTTTCGCAAATCGTCGAATCAAAATTCTTTTAATGGGGACACAACTTCATATCATGATTATCATGTATACCAAGTTCCAAAGAGATCGGTCGAAAAATGTAGGAGGAGATTTCCGGACAAAATTCAAATACTGAAATGAACAAAGGGCAATAACTTTTGGATAAATTGTCGAATCATAATTCTGTTAAGGAGGACACAACCTCATATCATGATTATAATGTATACCAAGTTCCAAAGAGATCGGTCGAAAAATGTAGGAGATTTCCGGACAAAATTCAAATACTGAAATGAACAAAGGGCAATAACTTTTGGAAAATTGTTGAATCAAAATTCTTTTATGGGATACATAACTTCATATCATGATTATAATGTATACCAAGTTTCAAAGAGATCGGTCGAAAAATGTAGGAGGAGATTGCCGGACAAACAAAGTTTACATCAGACGGACGGATGGACAACGCCATACCATAATACTACCGTACTACCGCGGTCGTATAAAAACTCTTGTCTATACTTACTCGTCTAGAAACTGTATAATCTTCTGTCGACTTTTTACATAAAATGTGTTTGGAATGTCAATGTTTTCACCCTCCAGTATCTGTTAACGAGACATATTATAATAGTTGAGTTCATGGTCAGTAATATCACAGACAGCTGGACAACCTCATCCAGAGACACATTATAATAGCTGAGTTCATGTTCAGTAATAACACAGACAGCTGTACAACCTCATCCAGAGACAAAATGATGACAAGGAAAAAACTTTGGAAGATGCATAATAAAAAATAAACCAGGGGCATTTTTGTAAATAAAATATCAGACAAATGATAAGTAACTACATGTAAACAAAATATCAGACAAATGATAAGTAACTACATGTAAATAAAATATCAGACGATTGATGAGTAACTACAATGTAAATAAAACAGGACAAATGGTGAGTTTAACTACAAATAAAGAATTGCCGAGTGTCATACAAACAAACACCTACCCATCGTATACACTTGTCAGTCCGGTCCATAATCTACAACGCAAGTAAACAAAATAAAAACAACAAAAAGTGCAACATGCAAAACAAAACAAGCTAAAAAATAAACAGGAAATTGACAACAACAACAACAACAACAACAAAAAATATTATTGTCTATCAACCAGAAAATTTATTCTGAAGGTATTTTCAGGTACAATGCATTCTGGGTACGTTAAGAGACACAGGATATTCTACTGACCATGTTACAAAATAACATGAATGTCACATCACATGACATTCTGCAGACCATGTTACAAAATCATATGACTGTCATATAAAATTCTACATTACCAACATCATGCTGCTATCAAAATGCAGACTAGTTATATATTATGTATAAATCTGGTACTGTTAATGTCATAATTAAAGCGGTCTTTTTATCATAAAACAATCTGATATTGTCAAATAAAAATACCAAGTCTGAACACCAAATCTACTAAACAACGAGGCAGATCTGTTTGAATGGTCTCCCGTCTGTAGACTATGTAAAATACTACGACCAAATTCTTCACTATTTAAATGATTGGATTCTGTAATAGCTTAGCCTCCTACACTAGGGAACTACAATACATGTTCTAACAGCTAGATGACCGCTGTAGGTTTCACTAGGGAACTACAATACATGTTCTAACAGCTAGATAACCGCTGTAGGTTGTAGGACAATGTGGGGGACATGGTCATACTGATGACCTTGACAATATTTATGTTGTAATGATGACCTTGGAAATGTGACCTTGTACTCACCTCTAGCCCCTCCATGTCTAGCTGGGCTTTAATGCGGAAACTCCCGAGAATTTGCTCACAGCAAATCAACATAAGGTCATTGAACTGTAATGTTAAACAATAGAAACAGTCTTTAATAACATTTCTATTTGTGCAAATTTCAGATCTGTTAAATTTCAATAATACTGTTTCTGATGTTAACACTGAAATACAAATACAACTGATTTCAGAAACAATGTACAATCAAAATCTGCAGGCTGAAAATTATTACAAATCTTGGATATGTTCAAATTGCTTGGCTATCTTTTAGGTGCCAATATTTAAACTTGAGCAGGTATATCAGTGTTTGAAAAAAAAATAAAGAAGATCAGAGCATTTTGTTAAGAGTTTGAACCATGTTAACCTTTGTGCGGAGGAGAACACTGGCAATGACCGACTGATGTCTATATAACACCTTCTGTTGCAGGAATCACAAAAAATATAGATTTTCAATTGAATTGCCAAAAACGTTTTGGTAATGAATCTAATTACTGCTTTTTACTGGTAACTATGTCAGCCTAGTGGAGTCTGGGCATGTTTATCACGCTCGTGTTCTGTGGAGACACAGAAATCTCGTAATGAGCAAACAGTCTTTCTGTTGTACAAATTCTAAAATCAATAATTCTGCAATATCAAATGTCTGCCGAAAGTCATTCAGGCCAAAGTTACGTAATAAAACCCAGACACACAACAAAATAAAACCAAATAGCTGACACTTCACACTGGTTGGTGTAGTGCTGGCTTCCGCAGAACAAATTAATATTCAAAAGTAATCAAAAGTCTAATTGTCATGTCTTCAAAGCATAGTACAATACCATTAGTTTGAAACCCTCTCTTTACCCTCGATCCCTAGGGCAACATTATATTAGACCTGATCCACTTCAATGAAGTGCAAGTCGAAACATTATTCCCAGGGGATGGAAGGGTAAATGAGTCATGATATCTTCATCCAATTAGACTTTTGATGGAAACATTTAAAACTTTAGGTCCAGGAAAACAAACTTTTCTGAGGAAGAAGTAAATTCTATTTAGAAGGGAGATCTCGTATTTGCGATGTAATTTTGCATGTTACATTTATTGGTTAGTGATTTTGGCTGTGGCCGATTATTTGCAATGAGACATTGTATGTGACAAAATGTTTACAATGTGACCGTGTGTGGCAAAATGTTTACAATGTGACCTTGTGTGTGACAAAATGTTTACAATGTGACCTTGTGTGTGACAAAATGTTTACAATGTGACCTTGTGTGGCACATTGTTATGATGTGACCTTGTTTTTGAGATGTTGTTTGTATTTTGACTTTGTGTGTGACAACTTGTTTGAAATGTGACCATATGGGTCCTTTTTGTGATGTGACCCGAGGTATGACACTATGATTTGACCTTGGGTTTGACCGATTGCTTTGATATGGCTTAGGGAGACTTGTAGATTGTGATGGAGATTTATTTTGGCAAAACAATGATCAATTATACACAATGGTCCAACCTCTCCTTCTCAAGGAAATCTCATTGAGACACTAAGCAAACACTCACCAGGAATACATAACGGTCCAGCCTCTCCCCGCCCCTTGCAGAGATCTTGGTAATACGCCCCTCCCTTACAAGCTCTCGGGTGGGACTGATCAGGTCAATCGCAGCACCAAACTTTTCGTTAATTTCCAGTAGTTTGTGGAACTTTTCCTACATGAAAAACACAGTGAAGGATCAAGATAAGCTTTGGCGTTCTATCAACAACTACAATACTGAAAACTCAGTTTCCAGACAGTTATATTACAATTTATTTTTCTAAGAAAATAGCAGCTGTATTACATAATAATATAAATTATTGTGCAAACAGGACAGTTTGATGCCAGAATGATGCTCTTTGCTAAGGGGCATAACTCTTGGTACACCTACATAGTAAAATATCTAGTCATGTGGTCAATTTCAGTACCACATTCTTTTATATTCTATTTTATAAGAAATGTTTCACATAAGGTCAGAGTGAACCTCCAATGTAATTCTTTGTTACATCCAGTCAGCTTTCTGTTTCTCAGGCCAGTTACATGATACTTACCAACTTTTCCACTTACAAAATGCATTTTAATAGGAAATTGCCAAATGGTAGAATCTGTAAATGTTCTTAGCTATGAATTGATTGCATCTGAGCAAAAAGTAAGATTCAGGGAATCCTACTACCATATTTATCCTACAAAAAGCCCATATCAGGTAATGAGCCCACCCATATATAGTGCATTTCAGAACCCAAAATTGGGTGCATCATCAGGTTCAGTTTCCCTCAAACAAAAAAGGGCAACTGAGCAAGTATGTATCAGATTTAATTTAATATTAACTAGATTTCATTAAAGCTATTCATTTGTTTACATGTTCTGGTATAGCATCACACATACAATCACCATTGGTTATACCGTCTATATCCTGCAATAAGCCCAGGCCAAAACATATACTGTCTCACTCAAAGTAGGGAGTGGGCTTATAACAGGACAATGAATAGCATATATTTGAATTTCTACTGAACTGCAATATATATGGGTGGGCTTATTGCTGGGTATGGGCTTATTGGTGGATTAATACTTAGCCTGGGTGATTATTGAGATCGATGCAAATTTATTACCAAAAGTGTACTTACGATTTTCTTCATTGCTTCGTTGGAATGACTAGCTGCCTTTGTAACAAGCTCCAGAGCCACTATAACAGGAATGTTTAACTATTAGTACTGCAAAACTCTTTTCTCTAATTAAGATTTTTTTACTGAAACACGAAAATCTTTACTTGTAACAGTAAGAAATATTATAAAGACTGGAAGACTCAACAAATTTCAGTTTGGTTCATTCAGGTAACTATTATCACCTCCAAAGCTACGTCTTCATCAGGACATTTTCACTGAACAATATTTCCTTGAAATATTTTTCTCATGGTGGTTTGTTTACACCTATTTAAACAATGTACAGGGGCTACGATCAGGTAATAACTGCATGCAATCATTACATATTGGATATTACCTTGAGCATAGTCTCTGTCAGGTAAATGTTTATTAGACCTACCTTGAGCATTGTTTCTGTCAGGTAAATGATTATTAGACCTACCTTGAACATAGTCTCTGTCAGGTAAATGTTTATTAGACCTACCTTGAGCTTAGTCTCTGTCAGGTAAATGTTTATTAGACCTACCTTGATCATTGTTTCTGTCAGGTAAATGATTATTAGACCTTCCTTGAACATAGTCTCTGTCAGGTAAATGTTTATTAGACATACCTTGAGCATAGTCTCTGTCAGGCAAATGTTTATTAGACCTACCTTGAGCATAGTCTCTGTCAGCTAAATGTTTATTAGACCCACCTTGAGCATAGTCTCTGTCAGGTAAATGATTATTAGACCTACCTTGAGCATAGTCTCTGTCAGGTACATGTTTATTAGACCTACCTTGAGCATTGTCTCTGTCAGGTAAATGTTTATTAGGCCCACCTTGAGCATTGTCTTTGTCAGGGAAATCCTCAGGTAAATGTTTATTAGACCTACCTTGAGCATAGTCTCTGTCAGGTAAATGTTTATAAGACCTACCTTGAGCATTGTCTTTGTCCGGGGAATCCTCAGGTAAATGTTTGAGGTAATCTATAAATAATAAAATCATGTTGTTAAAAACTGTACAAAAAGTTTGTTGAATAATGGTTTGTTTCCTTGAGGCAATATCAGACACTGGCTGCGGTTTTTGGCAGCGGATAATATTATGCTGACCAAAATGTTAATTTAGTTAGGTGACTTATAATGTTGAAACAACGTCACATTTCAGAACATCGATGATATGGCACTGGATATTTCTTGAACTCTATTTTTTACACACTCCCCTAGTAAGGATTTGTAAACATTTAGTTCTTGAACTGGGGTCACCAGGTGCACCTAGGTTGACTAGTGTTGTCCCACATCCACATAAGGAGGAAGTGTAGTAGACATTATCTATCTTCAGCGATGGAAAAGTGGATATAAAAGGATTGTCCAAAAAAAAATATTCATGAATCATACAAACAATGCATTGTAAGGGAAGTAAAACGTACAAGCGTCCATTTTTTCTGTAAAATATGATTTTGGCCTTGAAACAAAATACTGAAGCTGGCACAGGCTTGTCCCACATACACAATGTCACTGAAGTGATTTTCAGAATTAAGAAATATCACTATTGTGTTGGACTGTTGGACAGAGTCAATAAATTCGACCACTATTTCAATCAATTCTAATGATCAATTAATAGAAAAAAGATAGGAAACCACAATGCAGCAGCTATTTGTGGATGGGGAGTATTCTGGGAGACAGTACTAATCAGGAGAACCCATCGCAAGCTGACAGATGGCAGGCCAGGGAGAGCTATTATTGACGTATCGCCATGCCAACTGATCCCAGCATGAGTCTCCAGACAGGAGTCCATCAGGAACAGAAATGGCCGAAACCATGCAGGCTCATATTTTGTCTCCGCAAACATGACATTTTTTTGTTAAACAGCACATACACTACAATCTACTGAATTAAGCAGAAGGGTAGGGGAGATAACTATAGAAAATAAAGTGGTCATGCTGGGTTAGTTTTAAACACAAGATATGGAGAGTAACATTGTAATTTGACAAAGAGAAATTTTTCGTAAACATATAGTAACAGACATTTTATAACCTAAATAAAATAGTTTAATGAAGTGTGTAACCAATAAGAAGGTGTTGTTGGTGAGGCTTTGCAATGTATGGGTGTAACCTGTAATACTAAGGAGTTTGGGTGTTACCTTGTAGGAGGAGCTGGTAACGAGGATCCCACTGGACTGGGTCTAACATGTGATACTAAGGAGTTTGGGTGTTACCTTGTAGGAGGAGCTGGTAACGAGGAACCCACTGGACTGGGTCTAACATGTAATACTAAGGAGTTTGGGTGTTACCTTGTAGGAGGAGCTGGTAACGAGGAACCCTCTGGACTGGGTCTAACATGTAATACTAAGGAGTTTGGGTGTTACCTTGTAGGAGGAGCTGGTAACGAGGAACCCTCTGGACTGGGTCTAACATGTAATACTAAGGAGTTTGGGTGTTACCTTGTAGGAGGAGCTGGTAACGAGGAACCCTCTGGACTGGGTCTAACATGTAATACTAAGGAGTTTGGGTGTTACCTTGTAGGAGGAGCTGGTAACGAGGAACCCTCTGGACTGGGTCTAACATGTAATACTAAGGAGTTTGGGTGTTACCTTGTAGGAGGAGCTGGTAATGAGGAACCCTCTGGACTGGGTCTAACATGTAATACTAAGGAGTTTGGGTGTTACCTTGTAGGAGGAGCTGGTAACGAGGAACCCTCTGGACTGGGTCTAACATGTAATACTAAGGAGTTTGGGTGTTACCTTGTAGGAGGAGCTGGTAATGAGGAACCCTCTGGACTGGGTCTAACATGTAATACTAAGGAGTTTGGGTGTTACCTTGTAGGAGGAGCTGGTAATGAGGAACCCTCTGGACTGGGTCTAACATGTAATACTAAGGAGTTTGGGTGTTACCTTGTAGGAGGAGCTGGTAACGAGGAACCCTCTGGACTGGGTCTAACATATGGTGCTGCAACGTCAGACTACCACATTCAGGAGTTTTCTGTCAAAAAAGAAAATGTTATCCATCAATACATTTAATTATCTTTTATTTACAGTTGATTAATATTAAAAAATAAAACAACTAAGATATCAGTGAGCAATACAATACTCATTATTTTAAGTCAAGGAGGGAGTTACATACAACAGATGGCATTAGATATACCAGGGTATACATATAATATTAAAGATTTATATTTATGGTTATAGCATTATTTGGAAATTAGTATTCAGACTAATGCTTCTTGTGTAATGGTCAGAGAATGATGAGCAGTGTAATGGTCGGAGACTGATCAATACCATTAGAATGAATGTTGTCTGGCCTGGGGGTTTCAATCCCACATACCTAACTGTTGATATCTTTCCATACCTTGTTTGTGGTATACAATCACCCATACCTAATTGTCGATATCTTTCTATACCTTGTTTGAGGTATACAATCACCCATACCTAATTGTCGATATCTTTCTATCCCTTGTTTGAGGTATACAATCACCCATACCTAATTGTCGATATCTTTCTATCCCTTGTTTGAGGTATACAATCACCCATACCTAATTGTTAATATCTTTCTATACCTTGTTTGAGGTATACAATCACCCACACCTAATTGTTGATATCTTTCTATACCTTGTTTGAAGTTTACAATCACACATACCTAATCGTTGATATCTTTCTATACCTTGTTTGAGGTATACAATCACCCATACCTAATTGTTGATATCTTTCTATACTTTGTTTGAGGTTTACAATCACACATACCTAATTGTCGATATCTTTCTATACCTTGTTTGAGGTATACAATCACCCATACCTAATTGTCGATATCTTTCTATACCTTGTTTGAGGTTTACAATCACCCATACCTAATTGTCGATATCTTTCTATACATTGTTTGAAGTATACAATCACCCATACCTAATTGTTGATATCTTTCTACACCTTGTTTGAGGTATACAATCACCCATACCTTATTGTTGATATCTATACCTTGTTTGAGGTATACAATCACCCACACCTAATTGTTGATATCTTTCTATACCTTGTTTGAAGTTTACAATCACACATCCCTAATCGTTGATATCTTTCTATACCTTGTTGTTTGAGGTATACAATCACCCACACCTAATTGTTGATATCTTTCTATACCTTGTGTGAGGTATACAATCACCCATACCTAATTGTTGATATCTTTCTACACCTTGTTTGAGGTATACAATCACCCATACCTTATTGTTGATATCTTTCTATACCTTGTTTGAAGTTTACAATCACACATCCCTAATCGTTGATATCTTTCTATACCTTGTTTGAGGTATACGATCACACATACCTTATTGTTGATATCTTTCTATACCTTGTTTGAAGTTTACAATCACACATCCCTAATCGTTGATATCTTTCTATACCTTGTTGTTTGAGGTATACAATCACCCACACCTAATTGTTGATATCTTTCTATTCCTTGTTTGAAGTTTACAATCACACATACCTAATCGTTGATATATTTCTATACCTTGTTTGAGGTATACAATCACCCATACCTAATCATTGATATCTTTCTATACCTTGTTTGAGGTATGCAATCACCCATACCTTATTGTTGATATCTTTCTATACCTTGTTTGAGATATACAATCACCCATACCTAATTGTCGATATCTTTCTATACATTGTTTGAAGTATACAATCACCCATACCTAATTGTTGATATCTTTCTATCCCTTGTTTGAGGTATACAATCACCCATACCTAATTGTTGATATCTTTCTACACCTTGTTTGAGGTATACAATCACCCATACCTTATTGTTGATATCTTTCTATACCTTGTTTGAAGTATACAATCACCCATACCTAATTGTTGATATCTTTCTACACCTTGTTTGAGGTATACAATCACCCCTAATTGTTGATATCTTTCTATACCTTGTTTGAGGGATACAATCACCCATACCTAATTGTTGATATCATTCTATACCTTGTGTGAGTGATACAATCACCCATACCTAATTGTTGATATCATTCTATACCTTGTGTGAGTGATACAATCACCCATACCTAATTGTTGATATCATTCTATACCTTGTTTGAGGGATACAATCACCCATACCTAATTGTTGATATCTTTCTACACCTTGTTTGAGGTATACAATCACCCATACCTAATCATTGATATCTTTCTATACCTTGTTTGAGGTATACAATCACCCATTCCTAATTGTTGATATCTTTCTATACTTTGTGTGAGGTTTACAATCACACATACCTAATTGTCGCTATCTTTCTATACCTTGTTTGAGGTATACAATCACCCATACCTAATCGTTGATATCATTCTATACCTTGTTTGAGGTATACAATCACTCATACCTAATCGTTGATATCTTTCTATACCTTGTAATGTCATGAATAAATGATGTACCAAAATCACACACACACAAGATGCTCAAAGAGCTTGTATTGTTTACCTATTTCTCTATGAACAATGAATCAGAAAATGTTTTTTTTTCACTATTTGAGACACCACGGCTATCACAGATTTCTTCTAGTCTCAAACAATCACAATAAATAAAGTGATAAGACAGGAACATTTGTACCAGCTTTCAACAAATGTGACCTTTGTCATTTTAAATGAGTGTCAAGGTCATTATTTGAACAAATTTGATAGTGCTTCACCCAAGCAAGCTTTTTAACATGTACAAGAATCCTCGGCTGTATGGTACTTGAGAAGTTACTTAAAGAAAAGATGTTCAAGAATTAACAGAAAATGACCAACAACAGATACTATAACATGACAATATTTATTTTTTTTATTAAACTGAGCTTTACCTATTTTTGAACACTCTGTTACCTGTATTTCCTGCATGATGGCTGCAAATTTTGAAGACTTCTCCGACCAAACATTGATCAGGTTCATGGCGTGATCAAAGTTTTTCACATATTCTGTATAGAGCTTCAAAAAGGGAGCATTGCTTCGCATCAGGTCTCCAATTTTTGGTTCAGATTCCCTGTAAAAGAAATTTCATGAAAGTATTCAAAGGAAAGGTGTCACTAAGAATATTTTGGTCTTCATTGATAAGAAGTATTTAAACAGACTAACATTTATGTTGAGTGAAATCCAGCCGCATATGGTGTTTTATGGTAATGACCTTTGATGTTCGGACATATGTTATCATCAATACCTAAAATATTATACTAGTAATAACAATGTTTGTAAGAAAAAGTCAATGTTTTTTTCCAGACAATTTGCATGACCTACAAAATTGCATAATATGGGTTGTATATGTGGTATCTACAGTGTGGTTTGAAGGAAGAGATTAAAGATGTGTTTTGAACAATTAGATATACAAAGTGAAGATGAGTGTTTAAAAAAGAAAAAATCCAAAAAAAAAAAAAAAGGAACATAATTCCTTCAAGAATAACTCTAGTATATTTACCAGTTCTTCATCCTGTTTTCTAACTGGGGTAGGAGGAAGTTATTATGGAACTGGTATATACTAGTGATATTGGAGAACATCTGATTCATCACGTCCGCCGATAGGAAGTTGTGGGTCTTGTTCTCCTCACGAACACGAACTTGGAAAATCTGAAAAAAAAATACAAAACTTTGATACAGGATTAAGGACATAGGTATTTTGAACAAATAGTTAATAAATCAGATTTTCTTTTTGGCAAAACCTGACATCACTGCTGAAATATGTCTTTGTCTCACACAACAAAGGTGTAGTCAGTGCCATCGCCTTTGCCAGTACACATACTGACCCGTAAACAAAGATATTATCAAAGTCACACTTAAGGATGCCTGTCCCACTGCAGAGTAATTTTCAAATACAGCAACATCCCCTATAACTTTATATTTTAGCACAATTGGGCCAGGACAGTTCTGTTAACCAGGAGGCTTAGTTAGTTAGAGCGACATTATAAGGATCTGAGGTTCTGTTGACCAGTAGGCTTAGTTGGTTAGAGCGACATTATAAGGATCTGAGGTCAAGGACAGTTCTATTGACCAGAAGGCTTAGTTAGTTAGAGCGACATTATAAGGATCTGAGGTTCTGTTGACCAGGATGCTTAGTTAGTTAGAGCGACATTATCAGGATCTGAGGTTCTGTTGACCAGGAGGCTTAGTTAGTTAGAGCGACATTATCAGGATCTGAGGTTCTGTTGACCAGTAGGCTTAGTTGGATAGAGCGACATTATAAGGATCTGAGGATCTGTTGACCAGTAGGCCTAGTTGGTTAGAGCGACATTATAAGGTTCTGAGGTCAAGGACAGTTCTATTGACCAGCAGGCTTAGTTAGTTAGAGCGACATTATAAGGATCTGAGGTCAAGGGTTCAAATTCTGGTTTGTCCCCGCTGAATTTTACATAAATGTAACATGAGAAAGAGAAATGCAAAATGCAATGGCCAGCCCAGGGTTCGAACTCTGGACCTTCAGCACTCTAGACGGATGCTCTACCCATTGAGCTACCTGGTCACTGTCGATTGACCCAGTCCAACTCCACTTCATTTTTCAGTCTTTACCCCCCAGACAATACTATTTACAACCCAGGTTGGGCTATTGCCTGCCAATAGTACACCAATTTTGTAACAGGAGAAGAGAAATGCAATGGCCAGACCGGGGTTCAAACTGGGACCTCCCGAACTCTAGATGGATGCACGCTCTACCAATCGAGCTACCTGGTCGCAGATGATTGACCCTGTCTAGTTCCGCTACACAAAAAACACAGTTGGCCAATGTATTTTGTTTATTTCATCTGTATTATTTTTTCAAAAAAGTCTGGTAAGATATGTTTTGTCTTTTCAGATTTCAAAGGTAGCTATAGTCAAGCAAGGAAAACGAAGATTTATTCCAATGTGTATTTACAGTTTTTGGCAGTGAAAAGGGGGTCCTTCAGGATTGTATAAGTATCTGATTACAATAGGTATAGAACCCTTCTCGAAACTATTGCTTTCCTTAAAAAAAACCCAGACTTTAGTCCATCCCTTTAACATTTTATTTATATTTACTTTTATCAAATAACCTATCTCTTAACAACCACTGTTTCCATTTACAGGCAAAACATGACAGCTGTTTTCTATCTAATATATTTATCATAACATTCATTTTGTAACAGATTCAGCAGCAGCAGCGAGCATGTCGTCCATATTTGTACCTCAGCTGTCTGTCAAAATTGTTTTGATGACAGCTGCCTAGGGTAGTGAAACATGTACACATGATAAAAAGTCCTACTGTAACATGATCCTTGCTGTTGATGTTCCCTCACTTATTGTAATAGTGATTCAGAAACCAATCAATAGCTTTATCAGTCATAAACAAGTCACAAAAAATCCTGCTATGCATCTCAATAATTGAGTTGAGTATGTTTTCAATAATAAATGTCAACTGCTTTTCTCTGTCAAAACGCGCGAGTTATTTTTACCACCACCACAAAGCGGAACTAAAGTGAAAGACTTTTAGCACATTTCAGTTTGTTTTTAGATAATCAATATGCCTAAACTTTATTCTAACATACAGACTGAAGCCACTTTCCTTTCGGTGTAGCGGAGCATACATGCACGATCACTTCAGTTTAAGCAGCTGCATGCCCAAATTCAGGCAGAAATTGCCAGAGAAATGCATCATGCTTGTAGAGTTACAGGAAATTGAAGTGGACATATACATGTAATATTAAACATGTAAAAGTTACATCAGTGTTTTCCGCATCATGCATCATTCATTTCCTTGTTATTTTTGCATGAGGCATTAAGTATTTAGGACCATTTATTTTTTGTAACAGGATAGCTAGAAGGGTGCCTCCATCGGGGATCGAACCCGCGATCCCTAACTTCCTTGTCGGACGCTCTACCACTGAGCTAAACGGAAATTCCCTCTAGCTTGAAGCTAGAAGGCGACTGTAATCCTATGTACAATGAAAATTTGCCACATTTAAAAATCTGGACAATTTGTGTTCCCACAGCTAATATACAATGCCGATCTCAACTAGCCCTCACTTGCTTCTACATTAATTTCAGCAACATAAAAAATATAATCGATTGCCATTGCTGATGTTTAAACATCTGCATCACCAGTGAAAACTCTTACAAAATTTGTGTGAATGTTACAGAGAGTCAAGTTGTAAGTGACTCAGGCAGGCGACAGGGTGGGTTTTATTTCATCATTAGATATAAATGTAGGGTTGGATGTTTTTAAGACATGTGAGCAGGTTTTCTGTTTTATGATATTACATATTTAGTTGCCTTCTAGTTTTGTGCCTGGGGAGTATTCCCTTTCAGTAGCTCAGTTGATAGAACAGCAGATTGGAAATTCAGAGGACACTGGTTCACTCCCTGGTTTAATAATATATCAAAAACAGGCACATCTGAATAGATGCATGATAAGTCCACAACATTTCAAAATGGTGTACTATAGCAATGAAACCCACTCAGATGTCCATGGTCCTTTGACCTTGACATTTGAAATATGACCTTAGATCAATGTATGTGACATAGCCTTAAAGCTTGGGTCATACAGGCAGCAAAACTGTGACGCATGAACAACAGTATGAGTTATGGCACAAATAGTGACTTCAGAAGTCTATGCTTCTTGATACTGACCTTGCAGATATGACCTTGGGTCAAAGGTCATGACACTATTGGGTAACAGTGCTTTGAAGTATGTTCATGGTCAAAGCATTATAGATGCTCATGATCTATGACTTTGATCTTGGAGATATAACCTTTAGTCTAGTTTGTGATACATTCTTGGGTTATGGGCAACAATGCTTAATATGATTAAAATCCATTCAAACGGCCCAGCATAAAATTGACGATAGAAGGCAGTATAGGCAATGCTATGCCATAATGCACCCTGCATAAATATGGGTATATAGAATACAAAAAGATGCCTTAAATGTTTTTTTAATTTTTATTATAGATCTTCAAAAAATTAGTTCGAGCTGGGTTAAGGTCATTTACTTGAACAAACATAACAGCTCTGCATGTCAACATGCTCGACCATTTATCATAATTCTAAGAAAAAGTTGTTTATACATATATGTAGTTATTAATGTGTTTGACCCCTGTGACCTTAAATGTTAACAAGAGGCCCAAGGGCCTTAGCGGTCACCTGAGTTATATCATAGGTACTGGTAACTTTATTTTATTGTTTAGATGTGATGTGGAAATCAGCATGTAAACTAAGTGAAATACAATACTTGTCATGTCATCAATGGATCAGAATCTGAAAATATTGGTAAATGTTCCCTTTGGGGCCCTGCCCTAGGCCCTGGAGAGGGGGCAGGAATCCCAATTTTACAAAGTAATACTCTCATTCACCAAAGATGATTCTGACTAAGTTTGAGTAATTTTCTGCTGAAAATGGATAAAATATACCCAAAAGTGTTATTTCCCTATATAAACTATAGTAAACTTTACCCCCTCCCCAAGGGAGAACGGATAGCTTGGGGGTCTTGAAATTTATAATTTAAGTAAAGCCCCTGATGATCTTTCTTTTCATGCAGAGAAAATAACTGTAGAACCTCTGAGTCTGGAGGAGAAAATTTTGGAAATATTGGTTAATTTTCCCTTTGTGACCCCAACCTGGCCCCTAGGGTTGGGGTAGGAATTTCAATTTTACAATTTGAAACCATCTTCCTCCAAGGATAATTCTCACCAAGTAAAAATAATTTCCTACAGAAAGTTGTCAAAATATACCCAAAAGGGTTATTTCCCTATATAAACTATAGTAAACTTTACCCCCTCCCCAAGGGAGAACGAATAGCTCGGGGGTCCTGAAATTTACAATTTAAGTAAAGCCCCTGATGATCTTTCTTTCCATGCAGAGTACTGTAGTACTACCTCTGAGTCTGGAGAAGAAGATTTTTGAAGTATTGGTTAATTTTCCCTTTGGGACCCCACCCTGGCCCCAGGGGTTGGGGTAGGAATATCAATTTTACAATTTTGTAGCCTCATCTACCAAGGATGATTCTGACCAAGTTTGAAAAAAATCCATCCACTGGTTCTTGAGAAGAAGTTGAAAATGTAAAAAGTTTATGCACGACAGACGACAAAGCTCAGGTGACCTAATAAAAGTTATTATTAAAACATACTATAAGACTCCTTCATTCCCAGGGGTGTAGGATAGGGACATTCCACCTGAGGGGTTTTCAAATTTGTGACGTCACGTCATTGTTGAGCCATCGTGATGTCACTTCACGTGAAATGGGGTGTAAGATAGAAATTTCCTACACCCCTTTCTTACCCTGGACAGCTCTATTACAGGACAAAACATTACACTATACAATTATAAACCCTAGTCACAAGGTACAGGACAAATATCCAAATTGTTTGTATCATGGTTCTGTTGGATTTTGTAATAAAATATATTGTGTCATCCATCTACAATATTATATCATAACAAAACCTTTCGTTTACCTGGTACTTACTTATTTTCTGACTGTTTTTATAACAACAGTCAGAAAATAAGTATCAAATAAAGGTTTTGTAAAAATAAAACATTGAAAAGTAACATTTATCCTAAAGGACTAAGTGCTTCTTTATAATAGTCAGCAACATTAAATTTCAGTACATTAATTGGCCTTAATTCAACATGAATTAAACAAACATATGTTTTAGTTGTAAATCACTAGTAACATAGAAAGCTACTGTTGTCGTACCAGTTATATCCTAGCAACACAAGCCAGCAACATGAGTGAAGTATTTAACGACAGATTCCTGGTCCAGATCTGCAAAAATGCTTTTATTTATTCACATGCAATCAATTGGTTACACTTTTAGACTCCAGCTGAAAGAGATACAAACTTAATGGAATTGTCAAATTCAGATGTTTGAACACTGCACTAAAAAATAACAAATCAAAACCCTAATCAATTTCATTCTACAAGTCTCTCCAACAGTCTGCCTACAGCTAAACTATCGTCAAACTAACCAGTCTCTGATAAACGTCCCTGAATGATTGTTCGTACTGAATGTGCGATTCTTTATAGATCTGTGTCACACAATTTCTAGCATCCATCATGCCTACCACGACTGTGTGGTTGCCGATATTCCCGAGTTTTCCCAGTCATTCTGCCACCAGGCAGTAGCTATGACAATGTTCAGGGGTAGCACTCTAGGCAGCTGTGGATTTATAGTAGTAGACAATTTCTACCATACATATGGATATGTCTAGTCGATAAACGTTATACTAAAACACAACGTCAAAAACGCTTTTGTTGGAAATTTAAATTTGACTGATAAAAGGTTGATGGATGGGACTTGTTAAAGGGTGCACAGAACGTGAGAGTAAAATGGCTGGTCTTATCGCCTCATAACACTGGTATTGATCCAGTGTCCAGCCTAATACACTAAAGACCACAGATTACGGGAAAGCTACTAGGTCCAGTCCTAATTGGTCACAATTGGCATTCACCTCTACCTCTACAGCATCAGCTTCAGCATCAAGTCAGACATCGGGTCAGGAAGTCTAGTATATCCTATAAATTACTAGACACTGGCCTAGCCAGACACTAGTGTCTATTTCCATATAAAGCAACCAACAGTCCGAAACATTTCTGTGATTCAGTTTAAGTTGTCTGACGCTGGTGTCTATTCCTGTAACTAACAAACAAGAGTACGAACTATTCCAGGTCATTAGCATAGGCAGATGTCTACTTCTGCAGACAGAGACAGATTTTTCAAACTCAAGTCAAACCTGCTTGAAAAAACTCCTCTATTAAGAGACCATCTGTGTTAAGAAACCACTTTTAAAACTCCCCATTGCAGTTTTCTGATGCAATAAGCTTAACCTGTATTGAGAGACCACCTGTATTAAGAGACCATCTGTAGTAAGAAACCACCTGTATATGTCCTGGTCACACCATACATAATTAGAAGACAATGTAAACTCAGACTCACACGCTTCTATCATGTTATACAATGGCGTCATAAGCAACATCGGTCTACCTGATCAAGGAGATAGAGGCATGTGACGTTTACCTGATCAAGGAGATAGAGGCATGTGATGTTTACCTGATCAAGGAGATAGAGGCATGTGACGTTTACCTGATCAAGGAGATAGAGGCATGTGATGTTTTCCTGATTGAGGAGATAGAGGCGTGTGACGTTTATATGATCAAGAAGATAGATGCATGTGACGTTTACCTGATCATAGAGATAGAGAGAGACATGTAATTTACCTTATCAAGGAGATAGAGGCATGTGACATTTACCTGATCATAGAGATAGAGAGAGACATGAGACGTTTACCTGATCAATGAGATAGAGGCGTGTGACGTTTACCTGATCAAGGAGATAGATGCATGTGACGTTTACCTGATCATACAGATAGAGAGAGACATGTGACATTTACCTGATCAAGGAGATAAAGGCATGTGACGTTTACCTGATCAAAGAGATACAGGCATGTGATGTGTACCCAATCATAGAGATAGAGAGAGACATGCGACGTTTACCTGATCGAGGCATGTGCTGTTTACCTGATCAAGGAGATAGAGAGAGACATGTGACATTTACCTGATCAAGGAGATAGAGGCATGTGACGTTTACCTGATCATAGAGATAGAGAGATGTGACGTTGACCTGATTATAGAGATAGAGAGAGACATGTGATGTTTACCTGATCAAGGAGATAGAGGCTTGTGAGGTTTACCTGATCGAGGAGATAGAGGCATGTGACGTTTACCTATCTAGGAGAAAGAGGCATGTGACATTTACCTGGTCAAGGAGATAGGGGCCTGTGACATTTACCTGATCAAAGAGATAGAGGCATGTGACATTTACCTGATCAAGGAGATGAAGGCATGTGATGTTTACCTGATCAAGGAGATAGAGGTATGTGACGTTTACATATCTAGGAGAAAGAGGCATGTGATGTTTATCTGATCAAGCAGATAGAGGCATGTGACGTTTACCTGATCAAGGAGATAGAGGCATGTGACATTTACCTGATCAAAGAGATAGAGGCATGTGACATTTACCTGATCATAGAGATAGAGAGAGACATGTGACATTTACCTGATCAAGAAGATAGAGGCATGTGCCGTTTACCTGATCAAGAAGATAGATGCATGTGACGTTTACCTGATCATAACGAGAGAGAGAGACATGTGACGTTTACCTGATCAAGGAGATAGAGGCATGTGACATTTACCTGATCAAAGAGATAGAGGCATGTGACATTTACCTGATCATAGAGATAGAGAGAGACATGTGACATTTACCTGATCAAGAAGATAGAGGCATGTGCCGTTTAACTGATCAAGAAGATAGATGCATGTGACGTTTACCTGATCATAACGAGAGAGAGAGACATGTGACGTTTCCCTGATCAAGGAGATAGAGGCATGTGACGTTTACCTGATCTAGGCGATAGAGGCTTTTGACGTTTACCTGATCATAGAGATGAGGAGAGACATGGGACGTTTACCTGATCAAGGAGATAGAGACTTGTGATGTTTACCTGATCATAGAGATAGAGAGAGACCTGTGACGTTTACCTGACATTTACCTGATCATAGAGATAGAAAGAGACATGTGATGTTTACCTGATCTAGGCAATAGAGGCTTGTGACATTTACCTGATCAAAGAGATAGAAAGAGACATGTGACGTTTACCTGATCTAGGCAATAGAGGCTTGTGACGTTTACCTGATCATAGAGATAGGGAGAGACATGTGACGTTTACCTGATCTAGGCAATAGAGGCTTGTGGCATTTAACTGATCAAAGAGATAGAGGCATGTGATGTGTACCTGATCATAGAGATCGAGGGAGACCTGTGACGTTTACCTGACATTTACCTGAACATAGAGATAGAAAGAGACAGGTGACGTTTACCTGAGCAAGGCAATAGAGGCTTGTGGCATTTAACTGATCAAAGAGATAGAGGCATGTTATGTGTACCTGATCATAGAGATAGAGAGAGACCTGTGACGTTTACCTGGTCAAGGAGATAGGGTCCTGTGATGTTTATCTGATCAAGGAGATAGAGGTATGTGATGTTTACCTGATCATAGAGATAGAGAGAGACATGTGACGTTTACCTGGTCAAGGAGATAGAGTCTTGTGATGTTAACCTGATCATAGAGATAGAGAGAGACATGTGACGTTTACCTGATCATAGAGATAAGGAGAGACATGTGACGTTTACCTGATCAAGGAGATAGAGGCATGTGATGTTTACCTGATCATAGAGATAGAGAGAGACATGTGAGGTTTACCTGGTCAAGGAGATAGGGGCCTGTGATTTTTATCTGATCAAGGAGATAGAGGTATGTGACGTTTTCCTGATCATAGAGATAGAGAGAGACATGTGACGTTTACCTGGTCAAGGAGATAGGGGCCTGTGATGTTTATCTGATCAAGGAGATAGAGGTATGTGACGTTTACCTGATCATAGAGATAGAGAGAGACATGTGACGTTTACCTGGTCAAGGAGATAGAGGCATGTGACGTTTACCTGATCAAGGAGATGAAGGCATGTGATGTTTACCTGATCAAGGAGATAGAGGTGTGTGACGTTTACATATCTAGGAGAAAGAGGCATGTGATGTTTACCTGATCAAGGAGATAGAGGCATGTGATGTTTACCTGATCAAGGAGATAGAGGTGTGTGGCGTTTACCTGATCAAAGAGATAGAGGCATGTGAGGTTTACCTGATCAAGTAGATAGAGGCGTGAGACATATGCCTTTTCAGTCTTGAAGAGTTCCTCTGCGATTCTGTGCAGCTTACACTCTGGGGTTACACTGCTATCACAGGTCTGAAACAAAATAAATTGTGTGATTTTATATAACATATTTACCCCTACTTTAAGTGGACCTTGCCAAGTCTTTGAACTAGGTAGGTTCAAATGTGACTTTAGGGGTGAAACGTTTAATAAAACAGTGTCACAAAAGTCAAGAAGCAATTTATTTGATACATTTTGATACTTACTTTAAAAAAAAACAATAGACACATTAAGGAATGAAAGACACCAATTTGTAGGAGTGTTTTATCATTGATAACATTTATTGTCATTCATGTTGTTTCTTCATTGACTACCACTGAATGGCTGTCAGTATTACTGGAGATATAATGGAATTTGTGTGATACAGAGGCTGGACTGATTGTCATCACTACAAACCCCAAACAGCACCCTACCGGCTGGAGAAGATCAATGTTGTCAGGTAATACTGACTAATGTAATGATGTAGATCTCAGGGAAATTGAAAAAGTGTCAAATTCTGGCTAGACAAAAGTGGCTCAACAAAAATAGGCCAAGCCTGTATAACTGGTTCATGTAAAAGTCTGGTTTGGTTACACCATCCTCATCAGAGAGAACAAGAGTAATGCCACATAAAAATATACCTCTGTCAAAGGCCATGTAGTATTGTAACAATATACGTCTGTCACAAGCTAAGTAGTATTGTAACAATATAGCCTGTCACATGCCATGCAGTATCATAATAATATACGTCTGTCACATGCCATGTAGTATCGTAACAATATACGTCTGTCACACACCATGAAGTATCATAACAATATGTGTCTGTCACATGCCATGTAGTATTGTTACAATATACGTCTGTCACATGCCTTGTAGTATTGTAACAATATACCCCCTCAAATGCCATGCAGTATCATAATAATGTACGTCTGTCCCATGCCATGAAGTATTGGAACAATATGTGTCTGTCACACGCCATGTAGTATTTTAACAATATGTGTCTGTCACATACCATGAAGTATTGTAACAATATAGCCTGTCACATGCCATGTATTATTGTAACAATATACGTCTTTCACATGCCATGTAGTATCGGAACAACATACGTCTGTCACACGCCATGAAGTATTGTAACAATATAGCCTGTCACATGCCATGCAGTATCATAATAATATACGTCTGTCACATGCCATGTAGTATCGGAACAACATACGTCTGTCACACGCCATGTAGTATCATAACAATATATGACTGTCACATGCCATGTAGGATTGTAACAATATGTGTCTGACACATGCCATGAAGTATTGCTACAATATACGTCTGTCACATGCCATCAAGTATTGTAACAATATGTGCCTGTCACATGCCATGCAGTATCATAATAATATACGTCTGTCACACACCATGAAGTCTCATAACAATATGTGTCTGTCACATGCCATGAAGTATTGTAACAATATGTGTCTGTCACATGCCATGAAGTATTGTTACAATATACGTCTGTCACACGCCATGAAGTATCATAACAATATATGTCTGTCACATGCCATGAAGTATTGTAACAATATGTGTCTGTCACATGCCATGTAGTATTGTAACAATATACGTCTGTCACATGCCATGTAGTATCCCTCCACACTCTGTAGTCATAAAGTCATTCTCATGCTCAAGCATTTTAACTATTTCACCACTGTAGACCATAATGGACCTCTCCAAATCAATATACGGTATATATATCTATAACCAAAGCAAGACTTGGACTTTAGAATTTGAGCATAGAAATGTTTTTCATGAATATGGGCCCATATTTCAGTATGAGACAGTCTGCCTTCCAAAGCTGTATAATCATAGCAAGTATAGTGAAAAAAGGTGAAATATTAAAATAATTTATGCTACAGACAATCAAACTGTTGTAACAAAAAATATAAACGAAGGGACATAACTTTGTTGTGGACTTACTTTGTCTAGATCGTGGTCATCTTCCTGGTTGTCGACATCACTGTCCCAGTCACTGTACTCGTCAAAACTCATGTCTGAGTCGGACCAACTCGAGTCAAACAACTCGACCACATTCACCGTGGAAAACCCCACGGTGCTACAGTCCGAGGCGATCCCAGACTCTGCCTCGGTCCGATCATGACCGTTAGAGATACTATCCGATTGCGATGTCCCACCAAACTCAGAAGATCGTAAACTATTTCTGGCACTGTTGTCAGAGGTATCCAAGGACGCCGCATTCCTGTCGCGTCGGAGTCTTGGTGAACCCTGTGGAGTTCGTGGTCTATGTTTGTTTTTCAGTAACTTGTTAGAGTCTTCACTACTGCCAGCACATTCAAATCTTTGCTTCAACTCATGCACACTTGTGGTATTATCTTTGTCAAGATTTGAATTTTTGTCACCATTCGGTTCATTGTGATTAATTTGTTCGACAACTGCTTTAACAAAACCTTTTTTCATAACTAGATTACAAAACTTCTCGTCACGCGAAAATGCACAACAGTGTTTCCTAGCCTTATCCGAGTAGCTAGGAAACAGAAGGAATTTCCCACCACTTCGGACAACAGTCCGACTTCTGTATATTCCTGGAGATGAAGGAGCAGAGTAAACTTCCTTTGTAGTACTATTAAGAATTTGAAAATCACGTAATCGCTTTTGCACTATACCACTGATATTTGGTGAACCAGGTCTAGATCCGTTAGCACCTCCAGTCGGAGAGAAATCTGACGTAGATTCTAAAATAGATCCTTTTCCAGAATCACTAGAATTGCTGGTAGACGGAGCGACTGCTCTCTGCCCTCCGGAATGGTCCGATTTGTTATGAAGTCGTCCTATAAGACAATCATCTTCATTTTCATCATCTTCATCATCATCACCTTTTTCCAGCGATGTTCGTGTATGAATCACTAATCCATTCTTTGATTTCCGTCCAGATTTTCGAGAAAAACTGACGTTGCTGAACAGTCTGTCCAAGAACTTGGGTTTGCTTGGCGCTGAAAGAAAAGCAACCAGAAAATTAAATATCAAGAAATTCTAGCAAAGTTTATTGCTTGATTTTAGAACTAAAGAGATCAGATTAGAAAAAATAAAAAAATAAAAAAATAGTGAGGAAAACATGGAAATATGCATCACACAGAATAGAAAATGATTGTTGAGCAGTTTATAAAGTCATGTGACATATATTTTAACATTAATCACCAAATACAATGTAACCTGACTGGCCGAAACCAAGTGGGACAGTATTTTTTTCAGTATATGTGTTGGTGATATATAAAAAATATCTGTAAGGGCTATAACTCCTTTATTACCACAGGATGTCCTGAAGTCAGGTGTCAGTAAACTGAGTTTCTTTTAGTAAAGTCAGGTGTCAGTAAACTGAGTTTCTTTTAGTAAAGTCAGGTAAACTGAGTTTCTTTTAGTAAAGTCAGGTAAACTGAGTTTCTTTTAGTAAAGTCAGGTAAACTGAGTTTCTTTTAGTAAAGTCAGGTGGCAGTAAACTGAGTTTCTTTTAGTAAAGTCAGGTGGCAGTAAACTGAGTTTCTTTTAGTAAAGTCAGGTAAACTGAGTTTCTTTTAGTAAAGTCAGGTAAACTGAGTTTCTTTTAGTAAAGTCAGGTAAACTGAGTTTCTTTTAGTAAAGTCAGGTCTCAGTAAACTGAGTTTCTTTTAGTAAAGTCAGGTGGCAGTAAACTGAGTTTCTTTTAGTAAAGTCAGGTGGCAGTAAACTGAGTTTCTTTTAGTAAAGTCAGGGGTCAGTAAACTGAGTTTCTTTTAGTAAAGTCAGGTAAACTGAGTTTCTTTTAGTAAAGTCAGGTAAACTGAGTTTCTTTTAGTAAAGTCAGGTCTCAGTAAACTGAGTTTCTTTTAGTAAAGTCAGGTAAACTGAGTTTCTTTTAGTAAAGTCAGGTAAACTGAGTTTCTTTTAGTAAAGTCAGGTCTCAGTAAACTGAGTTTCTTTTAGTAAAGTCAGGCGTCAGTAAACTGAGTGACTTTTAGCAAAGTCAGGTGTCAGTAAACTGAGTTTCTTTTAGTGAAGTCGGGTGTCAGTAAACTGAGTTTCTTTTAGTAAGTCAGGTGTCAGTAAACTGAGTTTCTCTTAGTAAAGTCAGGTGTCAGTAAACTGAGTTTCGTTTAGTAAAGTCAGGTGTCAGTAAACTGAGTGTCTTTTAGCAAAGTCATGTGTCAGTAAACTGAGTTTCTTTTAGTAATGTCACGCGTCAGTAAACTGAGTTTCTTTTAGTAAAGTCAGGAGTCAGTAAACTGAGTTTCTTTTAGTAAAGTCAGGCGTCAGTAAACTGAGTGACTTTTAGCAAAGTCAGGTGTCAGTAAACTGAGTTTCTTTTAGTAAAGTCGGGTGTCAGTGAACTGAGTTTCTTTTAGTAAAGTCAGGTGTCATTAAACTGAGTTTCTTTTAGTAAAGTCAGGTGTCAGTAATCTGAGTTTCTTTTAGTAAAGTCAGGTGTCAGTAAACTGAGTTTCTTTTAGTAATGTCACGTGTCAGTAAACTGAGTTTCTTTTAGTAAAGTCTGGTGTCAGTAAACTGAGTTTCGTTTAGTGAAGTCAGGTGTCAGTAAAATCAGCCGACCATGGACTGTCAAATAATGTAGATTACAAGGTCTAGATCATTTGATAGTTCTGATTGAACGTGAGGTTTAGATTATTAGGCATGAAAACTGAATCTGAGTCTTAAAGTGAGTCTGAAACTGAATGTCTAGATAATGCTCTTGGTGAGAGTATCAATTGTCAGCATCATATTAAGTGTTGTATGTTTTTATGTGAAATAGTGCAAAGATCAGTTCCATTTAATTTTATTTTATTTTTGGAGGGGAGGTGGGGGCGGAGAAAAAACTGAAAAACTGTTTCCTTCTATATTAATCATGACTTTGGTAAATTTAAAACACTATATGATTGGTACACCTGAACGAGAACAGTAAACCACATTGATAGTGGAACGAGAAGTCAATGTATGATCCATGTTATACATCAGCTGTTTTACCTCCCATTATGTCAGATATGTAACAAAAACATAATACCCACTGACTCCACATAGCAGGAGTTGTAATTAGCCCAGTGCTACAAAATACATCATGACGGACAGAAGATTAGCCCAACATTCCACAATATATATTGACAAACAGAAAGACGTTACACTTTTATTAAGGGTCGATCACCTAGATATTTTATTGTACAGCATCTGTAGTTAAAATCCTGTGATATTATTGTATTTTTATAGATACTATATATATATAAATACTGCTGGCTAATATCCCACAATGTATAGATACTATATATCAAATACTGCTGGCTAATATCCCACAATGTATAGATACTATATATCAAATACTGCTGGCTAATATCCCAAAATGGTATAGATTTAGTATTACCCAGTTTTACATAATACACCACCCTCCCCGAGAGAGAGGTACCACTGGTGTAGTCTGTAAGGACAGAGGGCAGAGCAGCACTCAGGGCATCTGTTTAAACATTCATTGCAGGCCGTCTATTGCAGGAAGAATCCACTTAATGTTCTGTATGTAACGTCAAGTCGGAGCACTCCACACCGATGTCTGTAGCTTTACATATGTCTTTATGTGTCAGAACAGATAGTCTGACCTTTAAACTATGAGTTCGACCTTAGAACTATGAATTCAGGATCATCTCCAGATCATATGGGCCATCCAATGAAAGTTGCATTGATATAAATATGTCATTGCGTTTCATGCTCTTTGAACTATGATTCTTCGTAAAAGAAACTTGGCTGGCCACGGTCACAGTCCTGTGGTCAAAGTGCTAAATTTCGTACAGAGCCTGTACAGATTTACTTTGCTATGTATGGTGGTACTGAAGAGGATGTCATTGCCGTGATTGAGTTCAGTGACCTTGAGATACAAAGAAACAGCATACTTTGGTCAATCACTTGTAAGATTAATAGGGAACGCCTAGGTCTTCAGAAAATGGCCAAACAAAACTACATCTTGACCAAAGTGTTTCAGCAACGTGCCAGATGTCACGTACTATCAACTACTGACATTTAAACAAAACAAAAATACAAACTGAAATAACGCTTTTATAGTTTTGGCCCTCAGTCACATTATATATTTTGTGTACAGTATTACTTTTGTTTATTGTTCAGTAGAACCCTATAGTGATGATAATCTGTCTACTTCTCGTTTTGTCTGTATTCATTAGTCTGACTACAAATGATTTGAAAATTCAAACAAGGAGACATCTTTTAATGATAAACAAATTGTCACTTAATTTTGAAATCTGAATACATCTTGAAAATGATTTTTTTTTTCAAATTTATGTAGTAATTTTAAGCTTCCCTCTGAATTGTGACAGTCACCAATGTTAAGTAGCTGTATAATTCAACCTACTCATTAACTCATTCACTCCTGAAGACACATTTGAACTCTTCCAATTCAAAGGTTGGAATAGTTCATTATGAAATTTCAGGGATGAATGAGTTACGATAAAAATACCCCAGGTCACCTTGCACTTTCATTAGTTTTCTTTTGTGAAAACTTCGATTGGCTTCTAATGAACCGAGTTGCCAATGAAATTAGCAAGCATATTCTCTATATGGAATACGATAATACTACAGTCATAACGCGTATAACTTCACAACATGCAAAAACAAAAGCAGATGTCCGTTTCATGCATGTTGCCTATTGAGAGCTGAATCACTAATCAGCGCCCAGAAATTGCCTGATTAATAGAATCCCCGCCATGTAATGTTCACAGCACATTCATACATTTCCAACCTTCTATGGATCTGCTGTGTGTGGAGAATCAGCAGCAGGCTTAATTTACCCGGTGCTAGTACCCTTTGGAGCTATTAAGTCATTTGCACACTAGGCTACAGTAATTATCCTGGGGGTTTAAAACTGAAAGTGCACTGAGCTTCTTCATCTGTGGCTCAGCTGTTCAACGTAAAAAAAACAGCAAACGTTGATGTCTACAATTCTTAAATTATTAAGCCGATATTTCTACCTGTACAGAATCAGATACAATGTACTGATGTATGGTAATATGTTTAGGTCCTTAAACCCAGTGCCTAGCATTGTTCCTGTGGCATCAAGTCAAATAGATTAAAGAACTTCCCATAGACCTAGTTCATAACCTTGTTCCTGTGGCATCAAATCAAACAGAATACAGAACTTTCCATACAGACCCTGTGCTTAGCCATATACCCGATGCTTATAGCTTTTTCCTGCAATATCAATTCAAATAGAATATGAGACTTTCCATATTAAGTCACATACGTTATGTAAGTATGGGATTCTGCTTAAACCTAGTGCTTTTTATAAACATGTTCCTGTGACACTGAGTCTCACAGTACTACCCGTAGACCTAGGTCTGAGCCCTCACACTGGACTTCCCGTAGACCTAGGTCTTAGCCCTCACACTGGACTACCCGTAGACCTAGGTCTTAGCCCTCACACAGGACTACCCATAGACCTAGGTCTTAGCCCTCACACTGGACTTCCCGTAGACCTAGGTCTTAGCCCTCACACTGGACTACCCATAGACCTAGGTCTTAGCCCTAACACAAGACTACCCATAGACCTAGGTCTTAGCCCTCACACAGGACTAACCTAGACATAGGTCTTAATAGCCATCACACTGGTCTACCCGTAGACCTAGGTCTTAGCCCTCACACTGGACTCCCCATACACATAGTGCTTATTTTTTTTCCTGCTGTATCCAGTCACAAGTAGAACAGGACTCCCCATAGGAGCTAGGAATCCATTCCTTTAGGGTAGTGCTTTCCAAATTGTTGGTATACATATATGGGCACACTCCATGACCTTACACTCCATGACCTTTACTATTATGATGTCTCAATCCAAGTTTATTAAAAACGTCATTTGATTGACAATAGTGCTCCTGCTGTCAGCATTTCTAACACCAACTAAACAAAATACTAATTAATCTATTGCACAGGTTTGCCGTGAAGGTCTGTCATACTTTTTTAAATAGCGGTAATTACC